TAGCAGAGAGCCTGGACCTTAATCAGTTCTCGGTACCTTGCAGATCGACCACGGATGCCTTGGTGTATATGCTCCATTTAATATTGGAAGCAGGCTAGATAAAAGGAATTGCTTTGTGAGAGTTTTCTTCGCTGACTTTTCAAAAGGTTTTGATTTAGTGGACTATAACGCCTTGATCAATGAATTGAAACTGCTTAATGTAAACAATGTAATCATTAGGTGGTTTTGTTCCTATCTTTCTAATAGGCCCCAGCGCGTCAAAATTTGGAATGTCTTGTCAAATGTTCTTGTAAGCAATGGGGGTATCCCTCACGGCACAAACTCTGCCCAGCCACTATTTGCTATTCTGGTCAATCGCTTAATTTCTAGCAGGCCAAATCGACTGAAGTACGTTGATGACACCACAGTTTTTTAAATAATTCCTAGATGATCCCCCAGTTATTTACAATTTATTGTTAACGAGATTAAGGATTTTGCTTCAATACAGGGAATGAGTTTAAACCCCAAGAAATCTAAAGAGCTCCAAGTAAGCTTTCTTCATTATCTGCCTGCCTCTCCTTAAGGCTTAGTTCTTAGGAGTACTAGTATCAATCAGGTAGATAGTAACAAGTTACTTGGTATCTTTATTTCCTCACATCTCTCCTGGAACAACCACATTGACTACACTGTGAAGAAAAAGGGCTAGCGCCTTTACGCTCTTAGGGTGCTTGGGAAGGCAGGAGTCCCCCAGACTGTTTAAGTGCTTATTTATTGCTCCCTGATACAGTCCATCTTGGAGTGCGCGGCCCCTGTCTGGGCATATCTTCCTGAGTACCTTAATGAGCTTGTCGAGTCAGTACAACGGAAAGCACTTAGGATAATTTCCCCCTGTCTTGACTATGGATCTGGCCCTAGTGAGGCTCGACTGCAACCCCTCCTGGTTCGCAGAGCTGAACTGTGTTCCAGGTTCATGGCTTGGGCATGGAGGACTGAACCTATAAGTTACATCCTTCCTCGCACCACAGAGGTCCATCATGGTTATTCTTTGCGAACCGGCAATGCTCGAGTAGATCGATTTAGAGGGGCCACAGACGGACTTAATAATTTTGTTACTGTTCGATATCAATAAGATGTATATTTAATGTTGTACCTATGTAATACCGACCCATACTGTAATTCAGCCTTAGCTGCGAGAGTATGGAATTAAACAATCATCAATCTATCAATAGCCTCTAATCAGATAGAGTAGGCACCCATACAGGTTGAAAATTAAAGCGCTGCCAGGACGAGACATGTTAAAATACAGTGAAAACGTTCTCTGGCCAAAAGTTTTAGAAAACATAAACTTTCGGCTGTCGATCTACAGCCTTCCACTGATAAAACATAATATGTAAATTAGTAAAATAGATACAAAAAGCGAGATACAAGAGATAAGATGAACAAAGTAAAAATATGGAAAGGATGGCTATTGTTTTAAAAGAATGCTATACTGATTAGGGATGGTTTAGAGTTATTGTGCGCATTGATGTCAATCATTCTCGAGTTATCGACAAAGGTTCTTTTCGTATTAGAAAAACTCTGGATGCTTGACACACCTTTGCTATCAAGAATGCAATCCGTAAAAGCTCGCCTGAAGAGGTTGCATGTACCAGAGAATCATGACGAGTTCCCGATCTCGCCGCTGAGTCCTCTCTACTAAGCTAGTTCTACCTGTTGTTGTTGTGCCTTCCGCAAAAGTCCAGTTTGGGCGCGTAAACTATCGTCACAGTTAAACGTCCCCACATGTGCGTTTACTCTGAACATATCTA